TTTTTTAATTGATGGAGAAAAAACGATAAATCTATAAATTGAAAACTTGAATGGACCATATTGGCAGGGACAGGGTATATATCGAAAGATTAGAATTGAGAAGATGCAAAGAGGATAATCAAGCACTTAGATGGAGATTTTTCTTTGTATTGAAGTGATTATTAGCTTGCTTGAACTTTACTTATATGTTGATAACCTATTTACTTATTTTTTCTTGAAATAAACCTATTTGCTTATTTGACCTGTGAGATTGATTCACGATTGTGCAATGTAAGTTGAATCAAAATTTTCCATAACAATTTAGATAGAAGTTAATCAATAGATTCTGAAATCTTGCATGGATAGATAAGTAAAACATACCAAAATGTTGATTACACTTGGAAGGGGATCATACACCTAAGATGATTGGTCTTTGGCGTTGAACACTGTTGAAAGACCATGACTGCTAATAATTATTAGTGTATTTCTTTTGAGGACGTTTTCATATTGTAGATCGATCAAACATTTGTTTATTTGTTTGCTTCAACTATGCAAAAGAAAGAAAACATAGGTTACAAGCAATTTTTTTAACACTTGATCTTCCATTAGTTTTATTAGACTGCTAGGGGTTGCAAAGTCCTCATTTTGTTTTAGAAATCACAATTAGGCTCCGGCTGCTTACTCTATAGCTGACAAGATACGACTTCATGCTAACAAATTTATTAAATCTATTTAGAGCACAAATCTTTTATTTTTTTACAAGATGCAAGGACATAACACATCCTTCCATGATATGCCTTTTTTTTGTGTACCAAAAAACTGGATGATTTGTAATGCACAGTAGTAGGTGTGAAAATTGTAGTGTTAGGAAAGTGTTATCCGAAGGCTAATTATATTTTTAGATATCTAATGTACTATTTCACAAATATTCCAATTTAAATTATCAGGTTACTTATAGCAGGGTGTTTGTTTATGATGTTAGTGATTGATTATGTGCTCGACCCTCCCTCATTTCTAATTAAGTGTCCAACCTTCTCTAATTTACAAATGGTGTGCTAAGACCCACCATCACAAAAGATGTGCTTCTTTCAACCATGGGCACGCGTAGCAATAAATAGATTTCGATATTTTTGGTGTAAGATTCCTAATTCCTATAACATTACCACTTAAGCTTAAATCAGATCTAGTGATCTATTATTCAAAAGATACAACTATTTAAGTAAAAACTTCGTTGTATTCTTCCCTCAACATCTACTTGCACACTTCAAGATGCAATACATTAGGGCCTTATTATTCTTCTGCTAAACCCTTATCATGTTCCAGAATAAAGCACGTACTCCATCTTTGTTGATGTCAGGGACTACATTCAAATGGAAACTATAAGGGGAACTAAAAAGACACAAAGTTTGAATCTCAGAAAGCTAAGCAATTCATTAGGGGTATGATGTTAGGTGCATTATGGATGAATTTGGATTACTATGATTTAGGAGGTGTGACTTAGGAGGTGGCCTCTATATTGCCAATGTGACATTGAAGAGAATCCAAACCGACAAATTTCCTTCATATCTCAAATTTGTCAGTAAAAACAAAACAAACCATAACAAAACCAAGCCACCGTACAGATGCAATTATATCGGGATCAATCATGATGTTACAATCCAATAATTGGTCTGAAGAATTTCTACCTTTTTTTGCGGCAACTTGGGATTAAACGCCTGCAAACTCACAACGGTCATGGTCGCCATTGCCATTGCCATTGACGTTCCTTAGAAAAGTGGCATTTTAACTAACAGGTTGTGTGCAATTGCTATTATAGTAGAGATGAAGGCTCATGGACTTGAGAGACTTGGCAGTAATGACTTGCTTCTTATGAAGATACTTTCCTGAATTTGAGATGTGATATCAAAATCAAAGAATTATGTTAAAAAATTTCTTTGAGATTCTAGTTCAGCTCCCTCAAAGTCCCATGGTTGGGTTTGAGTGATGGGAAACTTTTGGACAATGATTTTGAAATGCAGAAGGCGTAAATGGTAGGAGATGGGGGAAGCGGTGTCCATGATGGCAAGAGATGGCTGCGATGGCAGAGGAGGAGGGGGATTTTAAGGGAGAAATTGGTTAATCATCGCATATGGTCGGCTTCACTAGAGATGGGGATTGGCGAGGCAAGATGATTGAACTAAATGGGAAAGAAAAAGAAGCGGCTGTGATATAACTGATTGGGTTTGATATAACTAAGAAGCAAGTGTGATTTAACTAATGGGGTTTAGAACTAATTTGTATTTATTTAGACTAAAAAATAAGAGGAGGAAGGAGTAATTCACTTTGAAATTCAATCCATTCCCTTCCAATACGTCCACTTTAGGAAGGTTAAGAAAGTGATGAAGTTTGCATAGTAATGAGTCCTAAATCACAGTAATCAGAATTCATCCATATGCACCTAATACCATACTCTCGATGAATTGCTTAGTTTTTTGAGGTTCAAACTTTGTGCCTTTTGAGTTCTCCTTTTAGTTTCCATATAAATGTGGTCTCTGACATCAACAAAGATAGAGTACGTGTTTTATTATAGAGCATGATATGGGTTTAGCTAAAGAATAACAAGCCTCTAATGTATTGCATCTTGAAGTGTGCAAGTAGATGTCGGGTGAAAAAATACAACAGATTTTCCACTTAAATAGTTGCACCTTTTGAATAATAAATCACATGATCTGATTTAGCCATGGTAAATGCTATAGGAATTAGGAATCTTACACCAGAAATACTGTTACTAGTTCAATGCTATGTGCGCCCATGTTTGAAAGAAGCACATCTTTTGTGATTGTGGGTCTCAGCACACCATTTGTTAATTAGAGAAGACCCTTAGTTAGAGAGGAGGTAGGGTCGAGTACATAATCAATCACTACCATCCTAAATAAACACCTGGTTGAAAGTCACGTGATAATTTTAAGTGAAATATTTTTGAGATAATACATTATATATCTAGAAATATGATTAGCTTTTGGATAACACTTCCCTGACACTACAATTTTCACATCTACCAATGTGCATTAGAAATCATTCACTTTGTTGGTACAAAAAAAGGCATATCATAGAAGTATTTGTTATGTCCTTGCATCTCGTAAAAAAACAAAAGATCATTGCTCTGAATTGATTTAATAAATTTGTTAGCATGAAGCTGTATATTGTCAGTTATGAAGCTGTATCTTGCACACAACTCAGAACTTCTTTTATTCCACAGGAGGTTTTGAATACTTTTTGATCCTAACACTAAAAAGAATATCATTAGGTCCAACACGTCACGTAGCATGTAGCTGTATATTGTCAGTTATGAAGCTGTATCTTGCACACAACTCATAACTTCTTTTATTCCACAAGAGGTTTTGAATACTTTTTTATCTTAACACTAAAAAGAATATCATTAGGTCCAACACGTCACGTAGCATGTACATGACCACAAAGACAAACTGCTCTTTAGTCGTCAAAAAATATTGTAAGAAATAAAAAAAAATACGGTGGTGATTTTGAAGGGGACCATAGTCTTTGTGAAAATGTGAAAGAACCATTCATCTAAAAGATTTAACTCACCATTCTTGCAGCAATTCACCGTAAATTAATCCGACATCTTTCTATTGTTAGCAATCAATTGATTAGTTGCATAAATAATCAAATAACAACAATATTCAATAACAATAATATTCTAACTCATCTCTATGAGATAAGAACCTCAAGAGATGCGTTTGGATCTTCACAAGCAATAGAGATATATTATTTAGATTAAATACAGATAAAATTTTAATCTATAAAAGTGCTGCCGTTCAACTTGTTTATTAGCACCTATCACCAAGTAACACAATTTATTATTTTTAATTATAATCATCTAATAATTAAATATTATAATATACTAAGTTTAATTTTCATCCTACACCGTGCTTTGTATTTATGTATACTTATTCATTCAAGATGAGTCAATAATTATAATAGAAATTTATTTTTTGAAATGGGAATGATAACTGCTAACTAACATCAGTGTTTTCACCTTGTAGTGCTTTTATTGTTTTAATTATAGTCATCTACTAAATACTTAAATATTATAATTTACTTATCACATTGTTTAATTTTGTGCAACAACTGCACTGGCAACCTGTGCAACTACTGTACGGAGCATGTATGCATTTGATGAATGTTTGCATGAGCTATGAAGTCGATGAATACTTGTTAGGATGTCAATACACTTTTTCCAGTTGTCGTACGAGATAACATTTTCATAAAAAAAACATGTAAGTGAGAAGTTAATATAGATGTAATGCAGAAAAGTTACTAATCAAGCTAAAGTTTTCATCCACATTATACACATAATTACTATTGTAGATAAACTAAAAGAAATATCATGTGTATATATTTTCATGGTATACATTGATCTTCCTATGTAATTCTTTGATTTTGGTGCGATATCTACATAAAGTTGCATGCATGCCCTTCCTTACTAGCACTAATATGAAAGGCCTACAGTCAAGATTACTGATAAACGTGTTTTGTTCATGATCATCTCCAATTATAGTGAGTATTATCATGCATATCATGAAATTCTTAAAGATAGAGTTACTCTAATATAAATAAAGCCTAAGCATAATCTATATTAATTTTCTGCTGCAGAATAGATGTATTTCCATACTTTTATATTGGATGCATGAAAGAAACTCTACAAGAGATGTTATTCTGAATGCTCATATCCACTAGTTACTAAGTTCTATTTATATCGCTATCATGGTTCTCTATCATGTTAATGTTTCCTGACATCTTTTTGGTCTAACTGGGGAAAGAGATCTACCAATTGCATATTGACCATTATTGACAAGCAAATTTATATATACGAGTGAAATTTTTTTGATCTGTATCAAAACAAGATATAAGCTTCCTTATTGATTTTATTTTTTCTTCCTCATTGTCTAAAATAGTTTCCTTTCTAATGCTTAAGAATGAAGCAGTGTGATAATTCTTCTTCTTTTCTTTTTTCATTCAAGATAATTTAGACTTCCGCAATGCTCGACTCAAGTTTTTATCAAGAAGCTCACAATGTCTAAAGAAAACCAGGGCCTCTTCTGTATCTTGTTCTCTAGAAAGCTCTGGAAAAGACTGCAAAACTTTTCACCCTAAAGTTAAAATGTGTGGGATCACCTCTGTTAGAGATGCAGAACTTGCTGCTCAAGCTGGTGCTAATCTTATTGGGATGATACTTTGGCCCCACTCAAAGCGTTCTGTGTCACTGGAAGTCGCAAAGGAAATCTCAAAAGCTGCCCGAGACAATGGCGCAGAGCCAGTTGGAGTGTTTGTTGAGGATGATGTGAGCACAATACTACGAGTCACCGAAGTATCTGGCCTTGAGTTTGTCCAAGTACTAGCCAGTCTAAAATTTATTCTTTCTGTTTTCTGTTCAAACTAATCAAAAGTTTTGAGCTATTTCCTTCTTACTTTTGCATGTTTTCTTGCAGCTTCATGGAGATTGTTCTCGTGCTGGGCTCCGAGAGTTGCTGCCATTGAGTAGGGTTATTTACGTTATCCATGCTGATGAAAATGGGAAACTTCTCAACCATGAGTTGCTGCCATTGAGTAGGGTTATTTACGTTATCCATGCTGATGAAAATGGGAAACTTCTCAACCATGTTCCTGGTGAAGCTGCTGCCTTAGTTGACTGGGTTCTGGTAGATAGCACGAAGGGGGGCAGGTCATATGAACTTCCCTCTTACTTTTAAATTGCTATACTACTTTTGTCATGAAAACCTTGTTCGTGTAAAAGAACCTCAGAAAAAATTCTACAATTTACCTTCATCATATCATGCTTGGATTGGTGATAAGGTGCAAAAAATTCTGAGGATGATATAGAGGTAAATTTGATAGCAGACATGATGAAGGAATCTAAAGTGGATGAGTTAGGTGTGCTAGAGTCAGAGACTGACGTGATTCTAGTAGTGGAGTCATCATCATGCAGTGGTTTGCGGTTGTCGCACGAGCAGTTGATATGCGTAGCCTCGAGAATAGTGATGTATTAAGTTTGAGCTTGCAAGCAGGCATAGACGAGTGATACACATAAAAGTACTGATATTAGACTTGTGGGGAGGGTTGGAAAAACAAAGCTCATGTCTGGCCCAATCCAAGTAATGTAGGAGATGACGATATCGATCTTGTGGGGGAAGGTGTCAATTAGCCATCTTATTCGGTCCCTGCCAAGAGATGTTGGTATGGTGGCATCTGGCTTGTAGGATGGTGTAGGAAAGGTACACCTATATGGTCCCAAGTGAGTGATGCCGGTAGAGCAGAAGGAGAGCAGGCATGGTGATACTGTAGCATGTTCGACTTTCTTATGATATTACATATGGCGAGAATCTCTTTAACATGCAATGATGGATCCATGATGACGTGCGTAGTGGCAAGACTTGTGGGACATCCCCTATTGCGGATGTGGGTGCATATCCAAATATTTTGGTTTGAAGTGCAAAGCAATGGAAGACACAAGCTGAAAAGTTTCAAGACGACAATGATAAATCATCGAAGGTAGGTTGGGCACTAAAGCCAAGATGGAGATTATTGATATTGTATCTTTAATTTTTTATATAACTTAATGTAGTTGGATAGGATTAGATGTCTATTATGATTAGGAGACGAGGTCTTATCATGATAAGAAATTTGTATCTTGTCAGAGCTAGAAGGTTAGATTAGGGATAGAATTTTTGTTTCTCTATATGTGTCCCCTATTGTTGAAGGTAAACTGAGAAAACTATTCTCATAATTTAGGATTAACAGAGGGTGTAACAATACTTGAGTATTGTGAGAGGGAATGGTTTCACATTCCTTGTCTGTCCAAAACGCTGTAATTTTTGTTCGAGATAGTGGATTGATTTCATTTTAGTGGTTTTTCCTAGTTAAAGGTTTTCATGATAAATCCTTATGCGTGATTTTCTTGCTGCATATTATGCATTTCGAGATCGTTTGCATGTTTCAAAAATCCCAACAAATACTTCTATCATGAAGCCATATGGTACCTAATACATACAATTCACGTGACAAACACCAACATTTCAGGGACACTCCTTCAATATATGCATTCATCTATTCAGACATGTAGTCAATAGTATAACACATGTTTTAATTTAGGGTTATTTGCATGTATACCCTTTATATCATTGGTATTTGCAATAATACCCTCCAAATCTCAGTATTTGCAAACTACTTCTCAAATCATTAAACTTGGAAAAATACGCTCAAAGCAATTAATCATTTAATATGTTAACTTGTTATTGCAATGTAAAAATTATCAGCAAAATAATTAAATTTTTATCACCAAGTTGATGATTTGCAATGAAATAAGGTTAGTTTTGCAAGTACTAAAATTTAGGGGGCATTTTTGCAAATGCCCATGATTCAAGGGGTATATTTGTAAATAACCTTTTAAGTTAAAACACTCGTCATTCACTTCTTTGACATATATCCAACAAGCTGCATATATGAGAGATTGTTGATGGAATTTATACACGCAAAATAAATGCATTTCAGTTCTTATACCATTGAGTTTAAAATCTCGTTCAGCGCTGTGTCTTTTTCCTATGCTCTTTCAGGTATAGCTTTCTTCAGCAGACAGTTTTCTAATTTTTTAATTTGCATAAAAGAAACATAGAAATATTATGAGAATTTTTACCCTTAAAACATGTGAATTAACTATATTGATCTCATATAAATTATAAATTTCTGTATGTATGTGTATAATTGTGTCTTTGTACCCTACATTTTACAAAATTTTCGTATCCCTATACTTTACCTTGCATGTACATGTACACATACCTGTACACATACTCGTACCCATTTCCGTGCAACATAGTCCGGCAATAATCCATGGTAACCTCTTTGTTTGTGTTTGTGAAGATCTAAGTAGAAGCCCTTGACTTTTTATTCTTCTTGAACTGAATAAATCTTGTTGATGCGCGCTTACTATTCAATGCCGATTAGTCTGAGCCGTGTAAAAAACATACTTCTGTATGTTAAGAATCCATATGTTCAGAAAAGACTCGTATATAATCCTAACCTGGTTTATTTTGGAAAAGTACAGTGTGGAATATCCTCTATGTTTTGTATTTTCTATGAAATATTATAAAAATGTAAAAATGCACCTGATCATTCTAATTATGTAAATACGTCTGGATCTGCATATTATATGTTAAAACATTGTACCCTTTGTTTAGGTTTATCCTAGTCTTTTGCTAATGTTAATGTGTATCCAGTGGCAAAGGATTCAATTGGCAAAGGTTTAAATTGCCTCCGGTCAGAAGCAAACATGGCTGGTTGTTGGCCGGAGGCCTCCATGCTGAAAATGTTCTGGAGGCAGCTCTATGTCTTAAACCAGATGGAGTTGATGTTAGCAGCGGCATCTGTGGTCCTGATGGGATCAACAAGGATCCTTTGAAGATATCCTCTTTCGTTAGCAAAGTCAATTCATTGAGCTACTGAGTCAGTACTCAGAATATTTGGTTGAAATAATTTTATTCTCCTTAAACTATGGTTATGTATGTCATAATGGGCTTTTTAATATTATATTATTTTATGTATTTTGAGACTTGAGTTAGTGCAAATAACCTTATTTCATTGCAATTATTTTTATGTCAATAAGCTTATTTCATAGCAAATTTTAATGACATAGGTTATACAAACTTCAATTGTGCGTAATAATATGGTTGAAATAGCCAGTATTCTGCGTATTTTTTAGCAACGTGGGAATCCAAATGCTATGTACATACATAACCCAAAAACCTAAAACCCTAACCCTAAACCAAACCCTAAACCTAACACTAACCTTAACCTAGCCTCAACCTAACCCTAGCCCTAGCCTAAGCCCTAACCCTAAACCCTAGCCCTTGCCTTAGCCCTAGCCCTAAACCTAACCCTAGCCCTAAACCCTAACCCATCCAAACCCTAACCCTAACCCATCCAAACCCTAAACTCTAACCCTAACCCTAACCCATCCAAACCGTAACCCTAACCCTGGCCCTAACCATCTAAACCCAACCTAAACCTTAACCCTGACCCTAACCATCTAAACCCCAACCCTAACCCTAACCCCAACCTTAACCCTAACCTAGCAGTTGCCCTAGCCCTTGCCCAAACCCTAATCCTAGTCCTAACCCTAACCCTGACCCAAACCTCGAAACCTATCTAGACCCTTATCTAACCCTAACCACCAACCACAGCCTAAACCCACGACTCTATCCCCAATGCCAGCCCAAAAACTAACACTGTCCCTAACCTAACCTAGCCCTAACCAAAATTACCCCCAACTCTTAACCCTAAACCCTTACCCTAGCCCTAACCCTAACCCTAACCTAAGGCGAAGCCGAACCCTTACAAGTTGCACCATATTAGCACCAAGGTTACAGAAAGAATGTCTAAAAAAAATCACTGTACCATGACTTGAGCTCTCCCAAATAAATGACCCAAAAATTGCAAAGTGAATCAATTTTCAACAATCAACTAGGAAAGCAAGTCTAAAAGCAAAATCATATTATTATGAATTAAGATCTCTCATATAACAAAAAGAAAGTCTAAATTACAAAATTGCATCGTACTTAAATCTGAGTTTTCCTTGCAACGTCAATAGTCAACCACTTTTCAATTTAAGAAGTGAATCAAACACAAGAAAAGAACCTATATATTATAGGAAATATGTTTCCTTTTCTTTAATTTTCATGTTTTTTTAGCCAACCAAACGGACCCTAGTAGAAAGCTATGTTGTGCAAAATATCATTGTTGGACTTTTTATGTCAACGAAGTTGTATCCAGTAAGTGATTACGAAGTTGTATCCGCTTAAAATAGCCTATATAATAAAATAGAGATAAAAATATGCTTGGAGAAGATGCCCATTACACTAGGCCAAAAAAAACAAAATAAATACAAAGTCAAATTGTACTGGTTCTAGAAATGACAAGAAACCGGTAAGTGCTTAAAAGGAAACATGAAGCCCACCAAGGTCGTCCACATTTGGAAGTTACAAGAAAAACGAATCAAAGAGTGTAGGTAACCCACCGATTCAAATTTTAAAATGAACCCAAAACCTTATGGGCCCATAACCGACAAGTATATTTTGACCGCCTATTTGATGGTGAGCAAATAAAGTCAGCAGTGTTATCCGAGCGCAGAAATTTAGACATACATTGCTTTGGATGAAGAACGCTTACCTCATGATTGTTATGAAAAAGTGTCGTCAATATGATTTACGGGATATCTGTGCTTGGGAAAATAACGCAGTTATTAAGTAGCAAGTGAGGCATCGGGTGTAGAAATAGTTAATAGTTTCTTATGCAAAGAAGTTCAATGACTTGGGCTAAAGAATTGAAAAGAAAAGTGAAATTAAACAAGTAAAAAGGCTCATGCCAGGGCCTCAAAAGAATTAAATAAAAATGGCCACGTTTAATTTTGCCAACGCTTAAACTAGAAGAGCTGGGCTTTAATTAATCCAAGTACGTCAACAGCTCATAGATAAGAATAACACGGTTAACACCCATCAACTCAAAGCCACTTCTTCAAATCCCCTCTTGACATCGACGTCTCCAAAATGCCAGTGTTCATCGCCGCCGCCTCCGCTGACGTTGGATCGCCCTGACCATTTTGGTCTGTTCGACGCCCTGTGTCAAAATATCTTTGTCGAATTCAAAACCGAAAATTTCATGAGCTATAACACGTGATTATTGACCCTTCTCGTGTGTTTGGGCCCGACAGCAAATAATTAGGTGGAGTTCAAATATCACGATTGCATGGGTTAATTAAAACCCATGGTTTTCCGAGCGTTTCGGTCCATTTTAACCCGGGCGTGATTTTATGGGTTATAACACATTGTTTGAATTTCATGAGTTCGTGAGCTATAGGCAACAATTTTTCCCCATCTTCTATGGTTTCGTCCGATGACAAATGACTTGGCGGAGTCAAATTTCACGATTTAGTGAGCTATAACCCACGAAATTTATCCATTTACGCCCCTTTTTGGCCCCGTGCGGATAATTAGGCGCAATGCATATTTTGTAATTTCGTGAGCTATAACCCTTGATTTCTGATACATTTTATCAGTTTCAGTCCGTTTCGACCCAGCGATAAATTTTTTTGCCGAATTCAAAACCGACGATTTTATAAGCCGTAACCCAAGAATTTTGACCATTTTCTTCTATTTCGGCCGGGTGTCGGAAATGTCGAAACCGACGATTTCATGAGCTATTGTCTGCACGATTTATGATGATTTTGGTCTGTTCGATGACCGCGTAAAAATATCTTTGTCGAATTCAAAATCAATGATTTCATAAGCTATAACACGTGATTATTGACCCTTCTCGTGCGTTTGGGCCCGATGGTAAATAATTAGGCGGAGTTCAAATATCGCGATTTCATGGGTTATAACCCATGATTTTCCGACCGTTTCGGTCCCTTTCGACCCGACGCCAGAAATCTTTACCGAATTAAAAACCGAGGATTTCATGAGCTCAAACCCATGAATTTTGACCAATTTCTTTTGTTTCGCCCGTGTGTCGGAAATGTCAAAACCGACGATTTCATGAGCTGTTGTCCGTACGATTTATGACCATTTTGATCTGTTCGACGACCGTGTAAAAATATCTTTGCCGAATTCAAAATCAATGATTTAATGAGCTATAACACGTGATTATTGACCTTTCTCATGCATTTGGGCCCGTCGGCAAATAATTAGGCGGACTTCAAATATCGTGATTTCATGGGTTATAACTAGGGGTGCATTCGGTTCGGATACAGTTCGGATATGACCCTTACCATAACCATAAACACTTTTTGAAAATGGATACAGATATGGTTCGGATATTCATCGGTAAGAAAAAAGTATTACCATATCCGTATTAAACGGAAACAGATACGGTTTGGATATTAGAGGTTCGGATACGGTTCCGATACGGATACTAATCGGATATTTGGGAAATATATATGAATATAATTTGACAAAAAATATATATGATTTTAATAACTCATAAAGTAAGACAAGTTACCTCAAGACTTTGTTGCTATTCTGCATGACAAACCTCAGAACACCATAGTAGGCCCTAAACATACATTAGAAGTTAAATTTTTCCCCTTCTTCTCAGATTTTCCTCTGTTTTATTAGAAGACTTTTCTACTGCGGATTTAATAACTGGTTCCACGGGGGGTTCGACTGTGGGTTCTTCGTTAGAAGCTTGAACTGATGGATTAGACAACATGATTCTAATACCTATTCATTGAAATTTATAAACTTAATCAAACAAAAAATAAATAAATATAATGATGCAAATTATAATCATATATGCAACTAAAAACAATTAGGACTAATTGGTTAGGGATTTTTGTCAAATATATTAGAATTTTCAATTCAATCAACAAATGCTAGAAATTAGGACTTTTATAAAAAAATTAGAGCTTAGGGTTTTGAATTCAGTATACCAAATTGAGGAGGAGAAGAGGATGTTCGACGTCGTCCGTCGTCATGAAGAGGCGGAGCTCGGGGGTGGTAGAGCTCGGGGGTGGCAAACCTGGGGAGGCGGATCTCGGGGGTGGCAGAGTTCGGGAGGCAGAGCTCAGAGGCGGTGGAAGGCGAGAG